AGAAAATTCCCAGTTATCCACTTTAGGTCCCTGAATACTGGTAGATAATCTACCAAAGTTTTAACTAAAAATTATTTGTCCTGGATTTTACTAAATTGAATTTACTTTATACTACAGTGAATAAGTGTGTGTGTGTGTGTGTGTGTGTGTGTGTGTGTGTGTGTGTGTGTTGGGGGGAGAGGGAGGGTGGCGAGGAGGACATATTTTCATTTAAATTTTCTATCAGACTGATATAAACTAAAACATTTGAAAAAATAATCAACCAAACTATACATGGAAAGTAACTCTACTACAAAACATTTTTTTAAAATACAATAAAAGATTAAACTTCTTGGAACCTTCAAGTAGAGTTGACATTAGATGACTCAGGCTACAAAAACACTTCATTTTAGTTCTAGTGATAAGAATATTTTTTTTGAAGGGGTAGAGTTTTCAGAATGCTGAGTCATATTCAATAACATAGTCTTTCAGCATCCTTTCCCTTGTATGCTTCCTTTCAAAAGCATGTACACCACTTCTCTTCATTTATTTCTTTTTTTTTTTTTTTTTTTTTTTTTTTAGAATATGCCAAACACACCCCTATTTTGGTCTCCCTGAAATAATTCTTTTTCACACAACTTAAGTTTAAGTAACAAATAATGGGGGATGGGGGGATAAATAATAGTTTTAATTGCTTGATCTTGTCACCTCTAAGGTAAAATAAAATCATTCCCTCACCAAAATCATGGGCTTTCCTTATTCTGATATCTTTCAAAAGAAGAATTAATGTAAGTTATGGATGACAAAATGTAGACTGAAACATCATATAAATGATGAACATAAAAACAGACTAGAGAATTGAATATCTGACTATCTCTTTTCCCTTACAATCAAATAATGTTTAATTATTATATAACCTAAATATTGTAGCAAACCATTTTCAATATTCCCATAAAAGATATGCTGAATACCACTTCAACAATCTTACTCTTTAATAATCATTTAGCAACTCAAAGGTCAAAAGACTGATATGCTATGAAGTTGTGATTGAATATTATGATTAAAGTCCTAAAAATGCCAAAAAAAAAAAAAAAGTAGATGTAATTCTAACTCAAAAGGCCCCTGTTTGGTCATTTCCTTAATAAAATACAGTCTATTCAGTTTGAGGCTTGGTCTTCTTGATTTTACTCTCTTTACTTCTCAATGTTTGCCTCTTTCACTCTTTATTAACACTTCCACCTGAGAACAAGTGAGGTATAAGAAAAGGTGCAATTTCAACCAGTTTTACTCCTTATTAGCAACTCTACTGAGAGAGAATGAAAGTGAGAAAAAAGATAACAAAAAGGTTAGGTAGGTTCAGAAGTTGTAACTAATGTCTAAAAGAAAGCTCTGAAATTATAGATTCATATTAATGATTCATGTCCCTCCTCTGGAAAACAAGAATCTGATTGTAAAACTAGTATTTGTATCATATAAAATATGTCTTAATCAAGCCCCCAATAAAGATTAAACATTTATGAGAAAAAAAATTTCTATAAAGGAACCAAAAACATACAATGAAAAAAAAAGAAAAGCCTCTTCAATAAATGATGCTGGGAAAATTGGAAAGCCACATGCCAAAGAATGAATCTAGTCTGCTCTTTGTCACCATATACAAAAATTAACTCAAAATGGATCAAAGACCTAAATATAAGACTTGAAACAATAAATCACACAGAAGAAAATATAGGTACTAAATTTACGGACCTTGGTCTTAAGAGAAGATTTTATGAATTTGGCAAGGGAAGTAAAACACTGAAGAATGGGACTATATCAATCTAAAAACCTTCTGCATAGAAAAGAACTCTTCAACAACAAAAAGACAACCAACTGAATGGGAGAGGTATTGCAAACAATGCCTGTGATAAAGGGCTAATATCCACAATATATGAAGAACTCAATTCAACAACAAAAATAAATAATCCAATTAAAAAATAGGCAGAGGACCTGAACAGATACTTTTCCCAAGAAGGCATACAAATGGCCAAAAAACTATGGGAAAAAATGCTCAACTTCACTAGCTATTCGGGAAATGCAAATCAAAACTACAAAGTGACGCCAATTCTTACCTGTGAGAATGGCTGTTCTCAAGAATACAAGTTAAGTGTTGGAGAGATTGTGAATAAAAAGGAACTCTCATTCAGTGTTGGTAGAAATGTAAGTTAGTGCAGCCACCATGGATAATAGTATGGAGGCTCCTCAAAAAGGTTAAGAATAGAGTTACCATATGACCCAGTAACCCCTCTTCTGGGCATCTATCCTAAAAATTTGAAAACAATTATTCATAGATATATGTGCACCTCTATGTTCATAGCTGCATTATTCATGGTGTCAAGACACTGAAGCTACTGAAGTGTCTATCTTCAATAGATAACTGGATAAAGAAGATGTAATACTCAATCATAAGAAAAGATGAAATACTGCAATTGTGACAACATGGATGGATATGGAGAGTATCCTGCTAAAGGAAATAAGTCAACAACCACAACCACATGACTTCACTCATGTGTGAGATATAAAACAAAAAGCAACTAATGAACAAGTAAGACAGACAACAGTCTGGTGGTTACCAGACGGAAAGGGGGGTGAGAGAGTAGTAAAGGGGACCAACTATATGACGACAAGGAGATTTAACTTGAGGTGGCGGGCACACAATGCAATATGCAGACGTTGTATTATAGTATAGAATGATACACTTGAGACCTATAATGTTATTAACCAATGTCACCCCAATAAATTTAATTCTTAAAATCACCCATAAAAAATTTAAAATCTTTAGAATTTTAAAAATCTTTAAAAAAACATCATAGCCCCCCATATTATTAGAAGAAGCATTCTGAGTCTTTCTGTAGACACCCCCAAATCAGCTGAGTTGAAGACAATGTCACTTGCTTGCATGGTTAATTTGGATATTAACAACCTAGACATTAGATTACACAGCTGCTTATGATGAAGATATTGTATTGGTTTCTATCTTCATTCCCTTCCTCCCTTTGACAATAATCTCGCACTTCCAAACCAATATAAGCTCTGTAGCTTTAAAGAATAACAAATGAAAGATGCCAAAAACAAAGAGGATGGGAAAAGGAAGAAAAATGAAGATTAATTTCAAAATCAGGAAATGTCCTCAGCAGGGGTGAAGACCTGCAACAAAGTCACAGTTGCAGACAGGCACACTGAAAAAAATCACATCAATAACCATATGGTTAAAAATCAGCAATTGGTGTTCTCTACTTGGCTCACCATCTTGTTTTGCAGGAATTCATGTTTAAAATTCCTATTTCCTTGCCCTAGCTGGCTTGGCTCAGTGGAGAGAGTATCAGCCTGCAGACTGAAGGGTCCCAGGTTCTATTCTGGCCAAGGGCATGTGCCTGGGTTGCAGCTTGATCCTCGTGGGCACGGGGTTGGGGATAGGGTGGAGGGGTGGGGGGTGCGGGAGGCAGCCAATCAATGATTCTCTCTCATCACTGACATTTCTATCTCTCTTTCCTTCTCTCTTCCTCTCTGAAATAAATAAATATATATTTAATTTGTTTTTCAAATTTCCAGACTCTCTGTAAAAACCAGGTGGTTAAAGTGTCAGCCTGTTCACCAAAGGGTCAAGGGTTTGATTCTTGGTCAGAGGCACGTACCTAGGTTGCAGGTTAGGGTGCGTTCAGGAGGTAACTAACCAATGGGTCTCTGTCTCTTTCTCATGGATGTTTCTCTTTCTCTTTCTCTTTCCCTCCCTCCCTCCCTCCCTCCCTCCCTCCCTCCCTCCCTCCCTCCCTCCCTCCCTCCCTCCCTCCCTCTCTCTCTCTCCCCTCCACTTTCTCTTAAAAAAACAACAACAACAACAACAACAACTAGGCAATCTGGGGCAACACTAAGACAACATGATTACATGACAAGAATTAGCCTGGCCCTAGCCAGTTTGTTCAGTGGATAGAGTTTCAACCTGCACACTGAAGGATCACCGGTTTGATTCCCTGTCAAGGACGCATAACTCAATTGCAGGCTTAGTCTCCCGACCCTGTTGGGATGTGTGCAAGAGGCAATCAATCAATGTGCTTCTCTCTTTCTGTCTTTTCTCCTTCTTTCCATTCTCTCAAAAAAAAAATCAATGGAAAAAAGGATTAATTAAAAAAAATTATCCATAACATGGTAGCCTAAGTAGGACATGAGAACTTACATTTGTCAGAATCTGACTACAGCTCAGTTCACTCAATTTAGCCCCTAAAAACGGGTCAATTTGCCACCCCTAACTTATGATCAACTACCTGCCTTATGAGAAAGTAAGAAACATGGAGCAAGTAAGATGCATAAGCCATAACCCCAGTGTTACGGTGAACTGTGCCTTTAGTTTAAATGCATTTAACATCAGACTCTTCTCATGAAAGATCTGCTTTAATTTTAGTTCCCCTTCCATTTGTCTCAGGATTATATAACCTCACAGGAGGTCACACAAGTCTCCCAGAAAAGAAATTTAAGCTGTCTTTTAAAAATATAAAAAGAACCATGCATAACAAAGACAAACACAAAACTGAAACTTACTTTCTCTCCCAGACAGGAAAGCGTCACCCTCCCTGTTAATGTCAGAAAAATCTTCAGGGAAAAAGAAATTGAAACACAAAGGATGGCCCTGGCTGGGTAGTCAGTTGGTCAGAGCGTCATCCCCAGACACCAATATTGTGGGTTCAATACCCAGTCAGGGCACATACAAGAATCAACCAATGAATGCATAAATAAGTGGGCCAACAAATCAGTCTCTCTCTCTCTCTCTCTCTCTCTCTCTCTCTCTCTCTCTCTCTCTCTCTCTCTCTCTCTCTCTCTCTCTGTGTCTGTCTCTGTCTCCCCGACCCTCCCCCTCTCGTTCTAAAAAACCATTTTACAAAAATAACACAACCATACACAGAATGAAAAACCATGACCTTCTCAGAGGACATATGATATGCTATATTCTCAACATGCTGTCAAGCAGAAAAATATTAGGAATATCTTACCATCTTCCAGTTGAAGACAGAGATTATACACAGCCACAGGTCTCTTGGTCCTCTGGCCTTGTCGCTTCGATTGTCTTGGTGGAGCATTTGGGGGTGACTGTGAGACTGACTCAGGGGGTGTGGCATCAGGCAGTGTCCGAAAAATCTGCCATCAGAGCGCAAAGGACATTAATTGTTTTACCTGTGTATTCCAACGGTAAACCAGCATCAAACAGCATTTGATTTGGAGCTCATCCAAAACAGGATGGAGCCAAAAATCCATTCCTTCAAATTGTGGGTATAAGTTGTAAGTCTTTCTAAATAAAATTTCTCATTAAAAAGTCAAAGCAACATCAAATTATTATATTTCAAAATAAATTAATCCCCAAACTAAACAACTATAATTATCTTTACCAGGTGTAGTCAGTACCACAGCTTTTCACCCATAAGGAAAGTAGCCAGAAAAAAAATTTTTTTTTAAATATCTCCTTAAATTTCACACAGCGTTGGTTATATTTATGCCACAAAGCTTGTCTCAAAATTTTCAAACTACACAAATAAAAATATATGACTGCAAATATTTTTATATGTTTAAAAGTAGCTGGTGCTTAAGAAATTACCTTTCAGATTCCCACATAGATTTTTCATAAACTGTTTTATAGATCTTACCAATTCAGTTGAATTCTCTCCAACTCCTCTTAATAATTCCCTCTCCACTTATGAAATCTAAAATATTAGCACCCTGATTATTCAGTGACATTCATATATCAGCAAAACAAAGCAAGCTGTGCCATCAAGGGAAATATATCATACAGGTAACTTATAATAGAGCTTTCATGGCTGCTGAGACCTGAGTTCAGAGGCCTTTTGTCCCCCAAAACACTGGAGATCCTTCAGCCTTCAATCAAGTCATAAAATAAAGTATTTAAAGACAACAAGCTAACAGACACGGCATCCTTAGAGGGCTGATGTTCCTCAAGTGAAAGCAAGAAAAGGGAAGAAAGCCAGCTAGCATTCAACAAAACATAAATATAAAATAATAAAAGGCACAGTGTGAAAGCTCCACTGTTGCAAGGAAATTATTATATTTGTGCATTTAAAGACAAACAGCCATGTGACCTGTATGAGTGAGAGTATCACATATGGGTATCATATTTAATAACAGACAACCATATCAAAGTTATAATCATAGGGTCTAAAAGTCCTCACCTAAAAACTATTATATGCCAGTATAAACAAGCATTGCACCAGAACATGTACTTTATAGAACCATACTGCCCTCTCATGTGTGAACAGAATAAAAAATGATTTAAACTGCTGTGGACAAATATTTGCTAGTGAAAATTTAATTTAGTGCTCCAACTGGTAACCTGCTAACACCTATTTCCACAGAATCTGTGCTCCAATTGCGTACTCTGAAAAACAGCACACTACTTATCTTTCTTTAAAAATCCTCTGCATTCTAGACTATTGGCCACAACTGGATTTCGGCCCTCTGTCACTGTTCATACATCAAATACTTACATTGTGCACCTGAAACTAGTAAAATGTTCTGTCCGTTACATCTCAATAAAGCTGGGATGAAAACACACACAAGAATATCTGGGAAAGGGGACTGGGCTTTTCAGTTTTTTTTGTTTTGTTTTCTTGGGTTTGCATTTTAAAACTCCCCAGGTGATTCTTTTGTGTAGCCATTGGTGAAAACCCCCCATTTAGATGTCATTCCACTGCATTCGATGCTTGTCTTGGATGGATCAAAGTCCAAATCAAAATACCAAAAAAAATTATTTCAGAAAAATTGCCAGTGGATATATGCAATCAATTCCTTAGACCTTCCCAAATCTTGATTGGGGTTAAAATGTTTCAAAGATTCTATAGACCAACTACTCCTTAAAAAATTCTATGTCATGTTGCAAATCAAAGAGCTAACCTATCAGTCAGATTATGTTGTAGCAAAGCAAAAATGATAATTTGAGGATGAACTGTCCTGGTTTTTAAGTCTTCCTAGCTATGGAAGCTTAGACATATTAAAACACGAAGCACCTTATTTTCTCATCCATGTAATGAGGACCATAAAAACCTACATCTTACATTATTTCTGGGATTAAATGAGATAGTGTTTATAAGTTTAGTATAGCATTTGGCACTTGGTAATCAGAAATAAATAGTTACTGGTATTTGTAAGATGCTTACATCATCTATAACAATAAAAGCATAACATGCTGATTAGACCGGGCATTCTTCGGAATGTCCTTCTGGACAATCTTCTGGACAAAGCTGGGGCTGCAAGGAAAGCCCAGGTATCAGGTTCCAGCCAGCTGCCAGAGGGAAGTCCGCATCCCAGGTGCCAAAGGAAAGCTGATACCGGCAGCCAGGAGAAGGAGAGCCTACTCTTGCAGAATTTCGTGCATCAGGCCTCTAGTGATAATATAAAGGGACACAGACCTTCATTACTCAATTTAGAGGTTTTAAATATTCCTCAAATTCAGTGTTCAGTTATTCTAAAGCAGTGTGGTTGGCAAACTCATTAGTCAACAGCCAAACATCAACACTACAATGATTGAAATTTCTTTTCAGAGCCAACTTTCTTAAACTTAAACTTCTTCTAATGCCACTTCTTCAAAATAGACTAGCTCAGGCCGTGGTATTTTGTGGAAAAGCCACACTCAAGGGGCCAAAAGAGCTGCATGTGGCTTGGAAGCTGCAGTTTGCCGACCACAGTTCTAAATTATTTGTGGGGAAAACTTCATCAACCACTGGGCCAAGAGAAGCAATGGAAGAACATCTTTCAAATTTCCCAAGCCACCTTTATCATACAATTCTTTTGTGTATTTATTTCTGCACTTCAATGCTGAGAGATTTCTTGTTGTTGTTGTTAATCCACACCCTAGGATATCTTTTTCATCACTTTGCAGAGTGTGTCATCTTTAAATATAACATTGATTCCAGAACCACTGAGTAGATACAAATGTCTCTGCCACTCAGGCCTCTTGCCAAAATCCCTTGACTCCCCTAACTCCCCTAGGACCCTGTGATGTGTTTCCTTTGTTCTAGGCCAGATGAACTCATCTCAACCAACACTAAGAATCAAGAAATCAAGTCTAGTCAAAACTTACTCTTTTTCAGGTGAGAAAGTTCCCTCACTGCACCTACGTATTCATAACAAGAAAAAAAACTCAAACCAGATGCTCCAATGACAAAAAACAAACTCCGCGAGCAGGTGTGTCATGGAAGTAGGCGCTGACTCAGGTCTCTTCAGGGTGTGAGCGCAAACACAAGTCTGGCACCATGGTTCGGAGTCACAGATACCTCAGACTCAACAAACTGGATGCCAATGCCCATGGGACTCAGCCATACACAGAAATACCTCCCCAGATGCCTCATGCTCTGCTCCCAGGGGCCATGTGTGGAGATGATTGAGCCACTTCTGCCAGAAATACTTTGCAGACAACAGGAAGTAAGGAAGGTGTCTGGAAATGTGGCTTTGTACTCAACTCAAACCTGCAACATTTCACTCAGCTGAATGAATAAATACTATGGTTAAAAGAAACTAAAGAGGATGAGGTCATTCTTTAAAAAAAAAAAAAAAAAAAAAAGAATACGTTTTACTGAAAAGTTCACTGGTCTTCATTATGGTGAGAAGACCACCACTAAGCTCGTATATTCTCTCATCTTGAATAATTACAGCTGCAACCAATGGCTATTTGCAATATGCCCGACATTATGCCAAGTGTCTGACCTACGAAGATTTGAATCCAGATTTTCTGATTCTGGTGTGCAAGTCTTATACACCACACTCCCCTGCCTCTGATGTTACCCAGCCATATTAAGCCCCATCCTCTTTGGTGATGCTGTATCTAACACAACAGACAAGAGTTGTAACCAGAAGGCAGCTGGAAATCAATACACACTCACCTTAGTAAATTTTTAAGATAGAAAGAAGGGACAAAAAGAGTATTTCCAAGCTAGTTTCTAAAGCATGTGACTACAGAATGGCCAAATATTACTTTCAGCTCCACCGCAGCTTCAACCTCCCTCCACAATGTAACCTCAGAGATTAGCCCCCATGTGAACAGCACACAGAGAGCTCTGAAAATCTCCAGCTGTCCATTCCTGAATCGGCACTACCCTGTGACTAAATATGGGCCTTTTATGGAAAAGTTAACTAGATTTGGTAATGGGACTGACAGCAAAATACCAGTTGGGTTTAGGCTTGATGCTGGAAATGTATAAGTTTTCATGCTGGTTCTGGTTCATTAAAATTCAGAACCTCAGAGCTGAAACTTAGCCTAGTTATCACTTAAGCCAACCCCTCTATTTCACAGTTGACTAAACCAAGGCCCCAATGATTACAGATTTGTTCATATTAACACCACTAGCTAGTGGCTTTCCTCCCAGACCAAGGTCTCAACGCCAACTTTTTATTTCCCCTCTTGCTGGCTCTGGCCCTTTCTAACAGACTACCCTTTACTTTCTATCAGGGGAAGTTTTGCTCAACAGTTGAAATTCTTCAAAATGCTTTCAGACGCATATCTGATGCAAGGACACAGAGACCTGTGAAGCTGACATGAAGCATGTTACAGGATCTTGTTCCATTGCCTCCCAGGAGAATGGACGGGGGCAGAAGACATTCCCATGGTAATGGTCATTCATCCCAGAGGTTCAGGTTTGATTATGCCCTGACTTACAATGAGCTTTTTAAAAAAAAAAAAAAAAAAAAACTTCAATTTTGGTTTAAAATAAAATAAGATGAAGAAGAAAGAAAAGCAAAAAGTGTGCTTGTTGGAATTTACAAAATTGGTAGGCTTTCTGGTTTTCTTTTTCTTTCAAAGCTTTAATTTCAGGAGACATTTCAGACCCTTTCCTAAGTGCCAATGGATTAGACCACACTGATTTCTGTAGCACTCTATTCAATCGAGTAACACAGACTTTGGTGTCTGGCTTCAAGATTTCAATAAATGGCCGAAACCGGTTTGGCTCAATGGATAGAGCGTCGGCTTGGGAACTGAAGGGACCCGGGTTCGATTCCGGTCAAGGGCATGTACCTTGGTTGTAGACACATCCCCAGTAGGGGGTGTGCAAGAGGCAGCTGATCGATGACTCTCTCTCATCGATGTTTCTAACTCTTTATCCCTCTCCCTTCCTCTCTGTACAAAATCAATAAAA